AGTTTGGTTCTAAAGTCATGCATTTTTTAAAATAGGCTATTTAAAGAATTCTGTCTTCATGAATCAAAGCTTACTTCAAATATAAATCAATGTATAACTAATACCTCTTTAAAAATGCATATATAAGGGATAGATAAAAAATAAAGGATTTTTGTTCCATGATCAAAAACAAAAACATGGGCTATCTCTGATAAAGGAAAGGTTTTATCTTAAATTTTGCGCTCGTGTGCGCTCTCTCTCTCTCTCTCTCTCTCTCTCTCTCTCTCTCTCTCTCAGTTGTCTACTTTGTGTGTCCTAAGACTGCTTCATGCATTCTTGCTGAAAGCTACTAATACTTTGGTTGAAGATGTAATGAATTACCATATTTCTTCTGTTTCCCACAATCATTGTGGACTCCCTAGAATTACTTGGTAATAAATTCATTTATGCTTTTGAAGATTTAACACAAATCACTCATCATAAAATGTGCATATGGCACTTCTTGGTATCCAAGACACTAATCATCATTTTCTCAATAGAACAGGAATCATGGTGGCATGTTGACTCATTCTTATACCTTCAAAGGTAGTTTGAGTCTTATCTGGGGTGGGATGCTTCTTCACTCCCTTGAATTCAGGAGATGTTACTCAAAAACAACTTTCTAAGATGTACTACACTTTATAGCTGATGAAATTTAAAATAGTCTACAAGGTAGGCTTCAAATGTTAATTAAAATTTATAAAGTTCACAGAAATATAGAATCCTAGTTTGGGACCTTATTTTATAAACTATGACTTCCAACATTCAATTCCAAGAACACTCATAATCTAATATTTGCGGCAATATTGCCTCCCTTAAATTCTAGAAGAAATGTTGTCATGGAATTTTCTAAGATAGTTAGGTATTGGTTACTCCTTATGTATTATTTTCTTTTAAAAAATATTTTGCTAACTTCAGATGATGTTGAAAACCTTGTTGTTGATACTTTGCATCTCTTTACAGTCTAGCTTTCTAATAAGAATGTAAGCATATTGTAAAAAAAAAGAATTTCAGATGCTCAAAGATTATTCAAATAGTCATGCAAACTCAATACTGAATATTCTCAGGAAACAACATGCTGCTATATTCTTCTCCATTTTCTTCTGTTCATCAAAGGGATTTGAAGGATGGTGCCATCCTTAGATACTAACAGTTTCTTCTCTTTAACATTTAAACGTACATTCTACATCTACTGTTGAATTAACATGATGTTCTAGGTATTGTGTTGCATGCCAGGTATGATCAATTTCAAGTTTATAAATCATATAAAGCTCATAATAATTTTTACAAACACTTTGTGTTTATTATCTGTAGAATTCAGAATTTTGTTGAATACCTGCTTTCCTTCATTTCTCTGTCATTTTCTTCGTGTTCTTAAAAACACACACACACACAAAACAACAACAACAACAACAACAACAAAATAAAACACTGTCCTTTCTACATGGCTTTTGGGCCATATCAACTTGGTTTAAGATCCTTCTTCAATAGTCTACTACCACATATCTCAAATAGATGGCGGTGGGGCATTAAACTCTTTGTCAATAAATGTTTGTTAAGGTTCCAGTTTAAGACAACTTCAATGACAAATTTTTCACGCTGACATTCTCCAACCAAGACTAATTCAGTGAAATTCATTGGCTCATTCTCATCCTCTTTCCCTCTCTTTTCTGTTTATATACTTTCCTTATCTCTTCCTCTCTAATTGTCTTAGCAACACTTTGGGATCACAGCGTTGGAGTATTAGGTTTGATATCACTTTAGTGAATACACACTTTATGTATTCATAGTTGAAGATCCTTGGCCCAGGAAAATTACCAAGAAATCACAGAGAAAGTTCAGGAAATGCCTTTTCCCTATGGAAAAATCTAGATGCCATAGTCAACCCACTTGTTTTATCTTGAAATTTTCAAGGAGAATTCCTTGTCTTGATTCATCTTTCTTTCCACAGTGCCTGGTGTACTTGAAGAAGTCAACTTATATTTGTGGAAAGAATCAGAAACTTTATGTCATATTTGAAGATGTTTTCATCATGAGATGATTTACATTTCATCTTCCCAAGTACAGAGGTGTTAATTTTTCATTCCTCTGAGCAAAAAGAGGAATTTGAAAGTTTCAAAATCATGTTCTGATTATCTTCATGGCATACTGTTATTTCAGAGAAAGGAAAGAGGGACCCTCTTTTTCTGTTTCCCCTCAGAGCACTTATTAAGTGATTAAAATTAAAATCAATATTCTCATGGTTTTTATATTGAAAAAAGGTACGACCAAGCTATTCACTGAGCAATTCTTTATAAGGGTTTCTTGAGGTCTGGAACATGGAAAAATTTGATAAACCATTTTGATAGTGGAAGTTTAAGTGATACTATGCTAAGAATATAAGATGTACCCAGAATCACACACATTTAAAAAGATATGCAAAATGACAAATTTTTCATGCTGACAAACATTCTCATTATATATTCACTGAAATCTCATCCCTTATTTCTCACCAAAATCTAATTTTATCCTATATACAGTTATTTGTCTGCTTGCTTGTTTTGATTTTAGTCGTTAATGAACAGAATATCAGCAGTTTGACTGTTCACTTAAATTACTTAGTTGAGTATTGAACCGAATTTGTTTCTCAACACCAAACACAGCAAGCATTCTAGAAGACTGACTCTTAACAGATTGAATCAAAAGGGAAGGAAAGCAAAGTGGAATAACCTGGACAAGTTGGACCATGGAATAGAAGGGACAGAAATGAGGCCATTCTGTTTTCAACAGTGACTTGGAAAAAAATAATTTTGATGTTTCTGTTCATAGTTAGAGATATCTTGAAATATACACATGAACTTCTTGGCTCATTTCCTGTTGTGTTAGAGTGTTACTGCTGTTTTTGCACTCAAGCAGGTTTAAAAAGAGAAAGACTCATTGTTTTAATCTGCACCTCAATTGGGTCAAAGTATTCTAGGTCTCTGTTTTTCAGAAAACCTATTTGGTTATCTATCTAAGGGTAAAGAAATTCTAGAGAATACTTTCTTTTTTTAAAAAAAAATATTTATTTTTTAGTTGTAGTTGTACACAATACCTTTATTTTATTTATATTTATGTGGTGCTGAGGATCAAACCCAGGGCTTCCAACATGCTAGGCAAGTGCTCTACCACTGAACCATAACCCCAGCTCAAGAATTAATTAATTTTCACAAATTCAAGTTAATAGGACACTCACTGACAGAGAAAGAGAAAACTGTATTGCATAAGTGGAAATATATATTTATTAGCCTTTCAAAAGATTTTCTTTCCAGAATAGGCAATTTAAGAAACCATATTAGTGTCTGTATGACACTTATAGATTATAAAAGTAAAATAAACAGTATACCTTAATCCTAATGATTATCACTTGAATTTTCAGTCAACTGGAAAGGAATTCTCAATTTGGTTAGTGGAAAGTTTCATTTATACTGGACTATATATTATCTTCCCCCAATTTTGTATTTATGTAAATTAACACTTTTTACATATAAAATAAATCATGGAAATATTTGGTATAGTTCAAAACAAACAAACAAACAAAAAACTGAACAAAGTAAGATTCCCCCAAAACACCAAACTAGTTAAAAGCAAAACATGTCACTGTTAGACACACATGTATGTTTCAATCCCATCTTAGTATGTTTTCTGTTGCTATGACAAAACACCTGAGGCTGGATAGTGTATTAAAAAAGTGAAGGATTACTTATCTTATTATTTTGGAGGCTGAAAATCCAAGATTGGGTGGGCCCATTTGTTTGGCTTCTGATGAGGGCCTTCTGGCTATGTCAGCACATGACAGATAGCATCACTGTAGGAGTGTGTGCAAGAGGAAGAGATTGGACTATGAGCGAAGCTTTTTCTTCTTCTAATAATTCATATTTTGAAAAATTAAGTGTGATCCTTGGAGAACAACATTAACTCCTTCAGAGGGTGTGCCCAATGACTTAACTGCATTCAAGTAGGCTTTACCTCTTAAAGTTTCTAACACCCCACACTGGGAACCAAACTTCAAGCACATGAACCTGTGGAAGATGTAAACCATATCCAAGCCACAGCATTTCATTTGTTTATTCATTTGTTGTTTTTGTCTTAGCAAGCAGTAGTTTACCTAGTGTTATAGATGGTTTTCTGTTACTAAGTGCAGAAATGGACTGGCAATGACTTTCTACTATTTTTCACCTCTTATAGGTCCCACCACCTCTTAATATTGCCACATCAGGGACCAAGCTTTTAACACATGAGCCATTAGCATATAAAGCACATCCAAACCATAGCACCCAAAGAAGTTTCAAATGCAAAATGAAGTTGAATTAGATTACCTATAATACTGGTTCCAGAATTAGCAGTGTATGATTTTACAAATATATGCAAAAGTCCCCATTCAATAATACTATTTTATAACCTTTGTGAATTTTGGTAGGTAGGCTTTCTTTTTTTTTTCAATCAACAGAAATTAATCATAGTCTTATTGTGTGCGCATAATATTTAGCAATGAGTATGCAAAATTCATCCCTTCTTACCTTGAGCAACTTAAAATAATGCTAGGTAGAAAAGACCTACAAATAAAAGAAAAACTAAAATTGTAAGTTGGTTCTAAGTATTAAGAAAGTGAAACAAATGTTATCCTCTTTAGAATTTCAGGATTTAGGTTGTTTTTCCTATGTGACTTGAAGCAACCAGAGAAAGATTTTTGGAGGAAATATGTTTTTAAAAATGGTTCTGAAAGAAGGAGACAGATAAACTAGCAAAGAAAAATATCCGAGAAAAATGCTTATCTCTGTTCCTAACTGTAGGAACATGAGAAAGTATTCATTTCAGATGGGGGAAACGGACCCACTAAAGATTGCCTTTGGACATCACAGGTCAAAAAGAAAATTAACATTCATTGAAAAATTGTACTCTCATCTTAATAACTGGTTTGATGATCAAATCAAACTGTGTCTCAAAGAATAAATATGTAGCTATGATATAAAACATTAAGGAAACTTCAGTATTTGCATGTTGATCAGGAGGGTAAATGCATGCATATGTAGTTTTTTTTTTTTCCATATCTCATATGCATTCATGGGAAGTGTCTATAAGTGCCTCCTAGGTCTTTCCTGATATAGCTGAAAATGTTCCAGAACTCCTAATTTCTTGCCCCCCCCCCACTCCTAAAATCTTGCTTTTCTCGAATTGCCCTGTCTCAGTAAATGGCACCAACTTCTGTCTAGTACCTGAAGTGTAAAATCTAGGTGTCATCTTGGATCCTTCTTGTTTTTCAACCAACATTTCATCTAAGTCCTTCGAACCTGACTTTCAGCTCTGTCTGGTATAACCACTTCTCCCAACCTCCAGGACTTGCCACTTTTTCTTGAAATACTGTCATCAGCTAGTTTCCTAACTGCCATTTCTGCTTCTATTCTTCTCCCCCTAGAGATAATCTTCCTCAAATCAATTGGGGTTATTTTTCAAAAATGTAAATTAGGTAGAACCCATTTATAGTTTCTCATTAGAGGAACATTTCAACTCCCTACCCTTGCCTACTTGAGCTTGCATCATGGGACTTCAGCTTGAGTTTCTGATTTCAACTCCCACTATTCATTCTCCCCTTGAGTATCCCATCTTAGTAGGTTGACCGTCAAGAAGTTCCTCTAACATGCCTTGGTTTGTAGCCTAAGGGCTCTACACTTACTTATTTTATCTGCTTGAGAACCTGAACCTTCCTGGCTTTCTTCTTATTATATCAGACCATTACTAAAACATCACTTCCTCAGAAAGTGATTCTGTGATGTCCCAATTAATACTTCCAACTCATTACTTTTTTTTCTCTTTATCTGGATCTATTCATATCATAATACATGCTAATACCTAATAGCAAAGATATTGTCTCTTTAAAATCTGGAGATACATCCTGAGAATCTAGGAGAATGCAGAGCACCAAAGAAATAGTTGATAAGTAATTTTTGAAAGAATTTATTAAAGAAAATGGACAGTACTTTGTGAAACATTATCTAAAGGAGTGAGACATTGTTCTGTTACCAGAAGCATCTAGATCACACACATTTATACACATTTACTTTCTCCACTTGAGGAAATTACTAAACACCAAAGTTTTCTCCTAAAAAAATGAGAATAATGCTGTCAGGCTGGTTTGTGGAGATAAGAGATGATGAACATTAAGAACATAATCAATAGTTGGCCAACAGAAAATATTCACTGATTGTACTAATATTTTTGATAGGGAATATAAGAGTAATAATTCAATGCCCTAGATTCCACTGAGTCTATTTTATCAAAGAAGAATAAAATTAAAAAATCCACCTTTCAACTTACTATTAGGGACTCCTAGAATACTCTTGAATATTAACCCCTGGGAAATGGAATAAGAACCATGGCTTAAATAGTTTAAACTCATATGGGACAAAACAATAAAAAAAATCTAAAAAAAACAAAACAGAACAAAACATTACATTGGAAAAGAAATCGATCCAATGACTTAATGCATCTTTTTATAATTTCTAGGGAGAATGTGCATGTTTAATTCATTGAATTCTCCACTGTTTCTATGCTGAAATTCACTTAGATGACAATTGCACTCCTATCAACAAAATTGGACTAAAAAAAACCCATTAAGAGTTTCATTATTGAAAAGTTTCCCTATATAATATATTAAAGCTCATTGACTAGATGAATCCCCACGTGCACTTTGTGTGAATTATAAAAGGTGCCCTTTCTTCTTGGCAGATGATGCACCCACCCTTGCATATGTAATTGGACTCATAGCTTGGTCATCAGAGCCTGGCCTGTATTGGAGTTTCACTCATCTCCCTGGGTCTCCCTTTTATAGGGTACAGCCCAAGCAACCACATGCAGTGGTGCTGTAAGTATTAGATAATGAATAAGAGGACAAAACAGGAGTCTGAGGAAAGTGAACTGAATATTGACAAAGCTCAGCTATACCTTTCTTCAACTGATAACTTGGAACAGCATGCAGAATAAAAAAGACATGGTTTCTACAATGAGAAAAAAATTATAGTTATGTCATATTTAGCTTTATTTTGCTAATGATTATTGATCTAAACTCTAAAAAATGTATCCAAGAAACATGCTTATCAGTATTTGAAGACTGAAGTAATAGCTTGATAAACTTGCTGCAGTAAGGAAGAAAAGCTGGGAAATGGAGATAATGATCAGGAGCTGAATTTGAATTATATGGGTTAAGTGTCCCTTATTAAAATTACTTGGGACCAGAAGTCTTTTAAATTTTGATTTTTTTTTCAAAATTTGGAACATGTGCATATACATAATGCAATATCTTGGGGATGAGACCCAAATTCTAAACATAAAATTCACTTATGTTTCATGTATGCATTATATATATAGACTGAAGGTAATTTTATAAAATACTTATAAGAAATTGTGCACAAAAAAAGTTACATGGTGTGGAATTTTCTATTTGCATCATTAGTTTAGCACTCAAAATTGCATATTTTGAAGCACTTAAGATTTCAGATTTCCAGATTAGGAATGCTTAACCTTTGTCTGCTTTTTTAAAGAATGCCATCTGCATTCAACTTAATTCTAATAATTTTTACTGAGCATCCACCGTACTGTTGGGCATTGCAAACTGCAGAAAAATAAATGCAAACATTTAGACCTTGTGAAAGCCACATCTGGGAGCACAATATGAATCTATGAATTGCTATTCCATAGATTACAGTAATAAAAATATCATAATAACAAAGAAGTCAAGTCCAAGAAAAAAATCTACATATTTGACAGGTAGACCAAGAGAGAAGTAGAAATGGGCAATTTCATTGGGAGCCTTCAGAAGCTTTAGCAAAGCTAACCTCTTTTAGAGGGCAAGACCCCTCTGTCACGTTAATGTAATATTCCAGTGTTCTGAATGAGTGAGAGAAAAAAAATTATCTCAAGGGAAATAACATGAACATAGACCAGGATGGAAGGGTCAAGCCGCTCTTTAGGGCACAGTAGACAATCCACATTGGCAGGAGTGAAGGGGACACAGACAGACAGGAAGGGTGTGATCCTGGTTGGCAAGGTACAAAAGAGGCATGAGGTGGACTAGAATCTAGCTGGGTGTGATCTTTTTTTCTGTGTTTCTATGTTTTAAGGGTAATATATTTCCTTCTGAAGGCTTTTAAATACTATCAGTTTTATTATGCCTAAAGTGGTGTGCCTTACATAAAAGAATGGGTACAGGAGAGTGAGGAGGGAGTTGAGGAGGATGCTCTCATGTAGGGCCTTAGAGAAGCAATGAGGACTTAATGTTTACAAAAATGGTGAAATGATGAACAGATTTGGTAAAACTAAAAGAGCTGTTTAGACCTCTGTATTTTTTTATTAAGTATTTTTTTTTTATTAAGAGCACCTGGAAACTGGGCTATAACATAAGCAAATTTTCATTCAGATTTATTGTCAATTCTTAGCTCTTTTACAACTAGTTAAGATGATATTCATTCTTATTTGTTTATTAAACTCCAAGACATTCTGTATGGTCATGTATTTACACACTTATTTTATATTTTATAATGCAGTCAGTTTGATTTGTAAATATAAATGAACTCATGTATTTAAGAACAAACACATAACAATAAATAATAACACTTTCATGCTTATATTTGAATACCTTTCTATTTTAGATATTTTATATACATATACCCTTTAAAATGTACAATTGCAGTTCTGATTTTTGAAAACTATGTATTTACTTATTATGGTGCCAGGGATTGAACCCAGGACCTCATGCATGCTAGGCAAGCATTCTACCTCTAGCCCCCAGCTTGTATCTTGAGATAATTATTAAACCTACAGAAAAGTTACAAAAAGAGTGCCTAGTATTTCCATATACCCTTCACCCTTCTTTCCTAATGTCAATATATTATGTAATCATAGTCCAGTTATCAAAACCTAGAAATTAACACTGGTACTGTTGATCGATATTAATTCTATTGGCCTCTCAATCTTATTTTTATAAAAAAAAATGCACATATATAGCAAAAAGTTGTAACCTACTGTTTATATGCTCTGAATGCTATTTTAAGCTTTCAGACAGTGAGAACTAATATGATGGATTATACTCTACAGTGTTAGCCAATGACTATTAACACAACCTTCTGCAAATGATCTCAGTACTTTATCATGTTCTCCTTTTGTGTTATTTATTTTGGATTCCAACAAACAATTTTGACCCAATATAGCTGACACAAATGTTTGTAAGTAATAGCAATTGTCAAACACACACACACACACACACACACACACACACACACACATTTAAAACATAACAGAGAAAGAGGATTGCTGTGAATAAAATGTGAGTTTCCGTTATCAATGGTAACAACATCAAGGAAATGGTTAAAAATAGAAGATAAACAGATGAGTAGGCAATTAAGGACTGATAGAAATTCTTTGACATTGTTAAGGATATTATTCATGTCTCTAGATTCTGGAAGGAGTGATCAACAGTTCTGGAAAAGGAAGGAGGACTTCTAAATTCATTTATAGAGAATTTCTGAGATACTGAGTTTTTGACCTGTCAACCATCGTTAAACTCCATTTGGACCTCCAGCCTCATTTCAGTGTGTTCCTTTGTTAAACACCCCCATCCACCCCGTGGCTCAAGCCAAAACCCTAGCTCTCATCCTTTACACCTCTGTAATTTCTCAAACCCAGTTCATCTATGAGTACTGCTACTTTTACCTCACAAATATATTTTTAAATCATCTCACTCTGTGTTCTTAACTGCTACCAACCCAGAGTATGGCTTTTTCTCTCACACCAAAACTATTCCAATAACACCCCAACTGTTCTGCCTGGATTTTATCCTTCTCTTCTCCAACCTCATCCTCACAGAGAAATCAAACTCAACATTTTCAACTCTGATCATGTCACTCCCCTCTTAACATCTTCCAAAGTCTTTTCATAGCACACAGATTGGAAACTCTCCTTTAAAAAAGAAAAAGAAAAAAAGGCCCAGAAGTCTCACATCAATCAGTTACTACTCATCTCTCTCAGCTTATTTCTCTTTTCACCCAGATGGGATCCGCTGCATGCAAGATGTCCTTGGCCCTAGAAACAGAATGTGGAAACTTCTCTTTGCCACTACCTCAGACTTTTTCATTTATCCTCCAGCATCTTCTTAAAGGCAATTTGTACTTCACACTATCCAAGCTGCAATAGGGAGAAGAGAGAGTATCGGGGAGTTCTCATTTTAATGCTACTATCTTCAGTGTGCTTCTCACTCTTCAGTGTGGGTAGTAGTCTAAATCTGCTAAGGTGCTTTGGGTGTACATCAGTAGTCCCTCTGGTAACATCAGCTGAAAATCCTGTGCCTGAGTAATGAAGTTTCCTGTCATTCCTGTGCCATCCTCAGCTTGAGATTTTCAGGATCCATTTCAAAGGACTCTCTCTATGGTGTCCATCCTTTGTCCCAGGTGTTTCAATAGACAGCCTCTTTTCATGCTTGTCACTGCTGGCCCAACAGGCTATATTAATGTGTTCTTTGCACGAATAAACTCTGGAAATTCAAGCAAATATCAATATTTTAGGAGACTCTCCTTTGATCTGAAGCTAAAGCACCTAGATAATCCAAGTGTGTCATTTATATTGTCCAGGCAGGCTTCAAACTCACTTCTGCTCTTATCTCCCAACTCCAGCTCTCAAGTGGTCTTACAGAAAATTCTTTTCTTAAAATTGAGAAAAGGGTAGGGATAGTGGTCCCTAAATAAATCTTCTTCAGAAGGACTTATTCGAAGTCTTGTACAGTTTCAATGTGTTCAGAGACACATCCTTTGAAAGTCCGGCAAGGTTTCTCAAAATCTACTTTATAATTTATTATCTTTTAAATAGTACTATTCCAATTGAACAATTTTAACATAATGCACTGATATGTACATAAGATAAATAAGATTTTATATATGAACAACTTTAACTCTGTTTTTAAATTAGATTTATCAAATTAAACATTGAAAGGGCATTTCAGTATCTATTCATAAAGATGAGCCATATCAAAAAAACTATTAAATGAAAACCAAGCTGTTTAATACATTTATGAAATGTGCTCTGTCAACATTCTTAAAATTTTTATACCTTTGAGTATTAAGCATTTCCTTCAGCCTTGTTTTCATCTTATGCATGCTTAAATATAAACCTCCAGGAAGAAGGGGTCTAACTGTACATTATTCTTTCAAAAAGAGTGAGATACTGAATATGGGTTTGGGGAGAAGATTACTAAAAAGAACTCCCCAGATAAAATATAATATATGTTTTATATTTTATATAGTATTATATATTAAGTCACTATAATACTTGTATGGTAAGTTTAAAACATGCTAGTATTAATCATACAATCTAAAATCTAGAATAGATAGTGCTGTGATGGTTTTATAAGAGGCTGAAAAAAAATTTTAGATTTAGTATCTCAGTCAGCAGAGACACTTTATAATGTAGCTTATAACTTTGGCCACAGTCTACTAAGAATGATCCCACGTGCTTTTCCAGGCTTTAGAGATTTGCTCATTTTTAAAAATATTTTTTTGCTCCTTTTTAAAAAATATTTATTTTTTCATTGTAGTTGGACACAGTACTTTTATTTTATTTATTTATTTATTTTTATGTGGTGCTGAGGATCAAACCCTGGGCAAGCACTCTACTACTAGAGCCACAATCCCAGCCCCGTCCTTTTGCTTTTAATGAACCCATTTTAGCTTCCTAAAACAGATCTGAATGGTTAATTTTTGCAAATTCTCACTAACTTTAATTGTAAATATTCCTGTTTATTAAGTAGGACATAGTACAATATTTCATTGCAATGCAAGGAAGCAAGCTATAAATGTGCTATCAAGCTCATTCAGTTATTAATAAACAGATAATACTTGAGTCAAGTATTCAAATGTATATTATGATATCCTTAAAAATTTCAGTTGAATATTTAAATAGAAGACAAAATTAAATAAAATAATCTCATTGATGTATTATTTTGCTACATGAGTAGGTACACAGTCAGGGGACACACCTGTTCTTGATAGAGAATGGTCCCATGTATTGGCTTCTAGAATCATATATTCCTAGCAGAAGTAACTGAAGTTAGCATTGTTTTTTTTTGGGGGGGGGGGAGAAAGTTGTTTCATCAGTGTCTGAGGACAAAATGAATAAATTAATATCCCAAATATACAATAATAGAAACCTGAATTATTTATGAAATAATGCCAGGGTTTTTATTTGCTTTATAGTATTAAGAACTGCTGTCTAATATGTTTGGTTGTAATTAATTATCTTAGAATCCAGAAGAGATTAAAAAGAGATTCCCACTAATCTTGAATGATATCCTCTGGAGGTGTCCCCTGCCCTGAGAATAAGAAAGAAACTCTTCCTTATGACTTGTAAGTCCTTGAGGGTGAGCAGATCCATCCAAGCTGGCCTCTCTGCTTTCTGGTTTGCTCCAGCCATGATGGTTTCCTCTTAATGACTTCTAATATGCTGAGTAACTGCCTGCCTTGGGACCCTAGACCAAGCTACTACCTCTAGTGCAGTCTCTCTACCTGGTCTTCTTCCCATGTTCTCATTTTTCAAACTGATTTCATGTTTTGCCTTCTGAAGACCTTTCCTCTTAGACTTTCCTGACCATCCCATCCATGTGAGAACTCTTTCTTGTGCCTCTTGTTATTTTCCATCATAGCACATAATCCTATAATCATTTAAAAATATTTGTGAATACAATTTTAGCACCTGAAAACTGCCAAATAGACGTGCAACAAATATTCTATTGAACAATAAATTCTCTGAAAACCTGGGAAAACCCAGAGGCAATAAAGAAATTTCAGTTGAATGAATGAATGGATTTCAGACCAAAGGACTGATTGGTATAAAATATTCTCAATATCTGCCTCATTGTAGGAAATGCCTTTTTGAGAATACAGCTCTATTAAATGTTTCATATCCACAAACAACAGTTGACAATTCATTGCAAGTTTCAATATTCATCTTTTAGAATATATACACTTTAAAAAAATTTTTGGGTCTGAATATGGGAAACAAAATAATGCTCTCAAGTAATACCTTCATGTCCAACTTTTACTCAACTTTTGCTTTAAGTAAATATGAGCGTAGGGATCTATGGTTTTCCATTTTCAAAATACTGTTTCACAATCAAATGTACATGCTCCTCAACTTAAGATGGGGTTTTTCCATAAGTCCATCGTAAGTTGAGAATATCATTAAGAGAGAGATACATTTAACACACCCAATCTACCGAACAACACAGCTTAGAGGTTGTTTGGGAGTTTTAGCTCTCTGCTAATGCCTGTGTTACAACATAGTATGGTACTACACATGGTTTCCCCAGAAAAAGATAAAAAAAATCAAAATTTACAGTCCAGTTTCTACTCAATTCACGTCACTTTCTCTCCGTGTTAAAGTGGAAAAATTAAAACTCAAATTTTAGTTGGGACCATCTGCATACACAATTGAAGTGCATTGGCTTTAAATAGCAAAGCCTAATATTACCAAGGTCTATATTGCATTTTTAAATTATTCAATAGAGATTGAGACATGTGAGTCCACTTACTGGGGAACTAGCAATGATTTGGCTTTTCAAGTTGGCTTTGAAAAATTATTAAGATAGATTTTCCCCTCCAAACCACAGTGCAATATATTTTCTTTGATTAGCAAATGGTATAGTTCATAGACTGGGTTTCACTTACATTCCAAGATAGCAATGAAAGTTTACAAAGTTTTTATTGCCTACTTAGACATTATAACTACATTAACCATGGGCCTATGATTTGGGGATAAATGAAATATTGTTTATAAAGTCTTTTATATATATTACTGTGGATTGAACCCAGGGACACTTTACTGCTGAGTTAACATCCCAGCCCATTTTATTTTTTATTTTGAAAAGTATTGTTTTATATCTTTGATATATAAAAACGGAGTATCCATGAACAAATTTAATTTAGAGAAGAAAAATAAATCACATTTCATTCTTATTTTTTAATGTTACAGAAAAATTAAGAAACTAAAGAAATACAGCCAGTGATTTCAGATTATCCTTTAGGAAATCCTGGCATTCCAGACAAACTTTGATAGGATTCTTTTGATAGAATTCATTTCTGAATTTTCAGGAAGTTTATCTTTGATCTGAAAAGATATGTGTTGGGGTTGCATACAAAACCTAAAATTAAGAAAATGTGAAACACCATGTCAGGGATGCAAGTTTAAAGACTGTATTTTTTTAATTTTAGAGACATTTAAAATAGCATGGCAGTTAAAAAATGATAAAATAAACTTGTTAAAATCAGCACAGAAGGTCTTTTGGTTTGCTTGCCTGTGTGTAAAATTAAAGTAGCACCAATCTTTCCTTTAAGTTGTGGTCCGCTTACTCGAAATAACCTTTTGGCTTTTTAAGTGATTGCATGATGAATGGTCCAAGCTGACATTTATGCCAACATGACTCTCACTGTCCTGGCCCACTCTGTGTCATCTGAGTTGCTGTCAGAGACTTGCCCTATTTATCTCTGACCTCCACATACCAAATATGCTCTAAGTTCATTGCGGTCCAGAACATGATTTGTGCAAGTCAGTTTTGAGATGGTATCTGCCCAGTCTGAAGAGTATGGCCTGGCAGGGAGATCAGAGGAAGCAGGAATAGACTTAGAAGCTCTTTGTTGGGGAGGCCATTGCAAAGAAGACATCTGAATAGCTGCCATGTCTAAAGTGTGCAAGGCCATCAGAAATTGAGTTCTGGAGGCATGTATAGGAGTATGTCTTCTAGATGTCTTCTGGGCACCAACCATCTATCTGAAGGGTTTGGCATTGGGCTCATTACCCATTACTTACAGATTCAAGAAATATAGTAAAAACACATTCTTTCCGTTCAGAATTATTTTAGCCAACACAGGACATGTGAGGGTACCTTCATGTCCTTATAGGCTATACTTGAATTAAACTCAGTTTACTTCTTGTCACTAGAAAGAGAATTTCATTAACAATAATTACAGTATTATTCAGTGATAACAGAGAAATGTGGTGTCATAATGCTTTGAAGAAAGCATGAAATGTTGAAATAAAATTTTGAATTATATATTTCTAAAGGTAGAAAACTTTTCCAAACTCTGAAATTTCAGGGTTATATGAAATTCATTTGTAAGTAACAGTTTCTTCACACATGATGTGACTTTATTTTCATTTGTTTTATGTTTTGGGTAAAACAACAACAACATTATGAGACAAAACAAAATGAAATAAAATTATATATATGTATATATACATATATATAATTATTTGAATGCAATTTTTAAATGCAATTCATAATTTATCTTGTAATTAGCATTCATAGAATAGTGCCTTATAAACATATTAAGATTATTGGAGTGACACAATGGTATGTATTTTTATTGTCCTTAAAATTGAATTGTCTTTTTTTATTTACATAAGCCAATGAGGATGGTTTAACTTTGGACTTACAAAATTATATATATATATATATGTATATATATACATATATATATATATTTGTTGTTAATTATACCTTAATAAATCTGGTGAAAAAATAAAATAAAGGGACTTTGAAGCCATTCAACTGTACATGTTAGTACACAGTGGTTTATCTTGTGCTATTAAATAGTTTACAAATATGAAGATTATGTTTTATTTGATATTTAAGAATGATTTCAAATGATGGTTCTCTGATGTGTAAGTGGAGTAAACAATGGGTATATTTCTTTTGTGGACTGAGATATACCATTTACAAGAAAACTCAACATCAAAAATTTTGTTAATTTTGAGGCAAGATAAATTAAATCTGAATAAACTCATTCATTGAGATATGAGAGGAAGAGGAATTCAAAATAAAGGACTTAATATGATAATTTCAAAGTAGAATTTTTGGTGTCTGTAAATTTTTCTTGAAATAAAAATGGCTTATAATCATGTCTTAATCCCATTAGAGTTAATGTGAGAGATGTCTTCCTGCTAAGGTTTTTATTGTTTTAATTGCATGATTTTTAAAAAATACTACTTTAATGGAGATTACACTCTTAATTTTTGGTTGGATTTTATGTTGCAATATCAGTTTAGGTATGTTTTCTTTAATGACCATGTACACTAATTAGAAAGAAAACAATTTACAGGGAGCTGTATCAAATAGAGCCCTGCAAATGGTATGAGCTTTTTCCAAAGATCCATATTGTCCTTGGACTTGGCTGTTGTATTATTCTTTAAATGGAATTGATTGTGTGGTTGTAATGAAAGTAACAGATTGATTTCTATCCAGTGTTACAAAGAGTAAATAGAAAAATGTTCCTGCCTTGACCTGCATTCATAACCAATGGGATTTGCTGGCTTTAGACCCAATCCTTAATAAGAGATAAGATGCAAATGTAATAAAACTGCTTCAAAGTTTAAGGGTCTTTTCAATGCTCATCAGAGATGTTTCTTGTTGCATTTAGATGTGTTGTATTGATTAGCTCACAATCACCTAGGAAATATTACTTTCTTTAAATGCAATTCATAATTTATCATGTAATTAGCATTCATAGAATAGTGCCTTATAAACATATTAAGATTATTGGAGTGACACAATGGTATGCATTTTAATTGTCCTTAAAATTGACTTGCCTTTTTTTATTTATATAGGCCAATGAAAATGGTTTAACTTTGGACTTACCAAGATTATTTGTGGCTAACAAATATTTTTGTCAGTATAAATGTTTAAATTGTAAAATATTCAGAAAGGTGAAATATTAATGTATTTAATTAACATAGTAGCATTTTTTTCTAAAGTGCCATTTCTGCTGAATTCACAATTATTATATTATTTGATAAGAAATGAAATGTTTGTTACAATAATGTTTGTTCAATATTGAACTGTTATTCTTTTTCCTCTATCTTTTCATGATAATTAAGAAGAAAAACATACATGAGAAGGATAATTACATTTTTTTTAAATTCTAGTATTCAGAACTTTGAATCTCATTTCCTATTCACCCTTTTGTAAATAAACTGAAGTTTACATAAGAAGAAATTTAGAACATAAAATGCAATTGGTAACTTCACTTTGCTATAAATAAAGAATGCAAAAAAAAAAAAAAGAAAACCTAACAATTCATTTGTAAGCAACAGTTTCTTCACACATTATGTGACTTTATTTTAATTTGTTTTATGTTTTGGGTAAAACAGTGTAGTGTAATGATGCCTAAATGAGACAAAACAAAATGAAACAAAATAAAAACAAAACAAAACAAAACAAAAAACTAAAAAAAAAAAAAAAAAAAAAAAACTAACACATTTGACTCCCAATGTTTCTCAGTTGTAGCTTCCAAGAGCTCTCTATTCTTCCCAGCCCACTTGATACCCTGCAGGTTGTGGCAGACAATTCACAGGAAAAGCTTAGACATCGAGCTTGCACGCTTCTTGACTCCATTTTAAACCTTTTGTTCACACCAGGGTGGCATTTTTTCACACCGCATGTGGCAATTTTGACTCCTATCCAACTTGTCTTATAAAATCAAAGTCTGTGATTTTTTACATTCACAGGGTTGCTTCCTGAACTGCTACTGCTATTTGAGTTGTTCCTAGTCATTGGTGCAGAAGTTTATAGCAAAATGTGTTTTAGGGAGAGTGAAGGAGACAGCAATATGAGAAATGTTCTGGCCTGAAACACAGGAAATAAATTTTGGATGAAACAGTAGCTGACTGCAAAGATCATATGTGAAAATAAAAATAGTCTGGCCTCTATTTTATTATTTTTGCAGTAGCATGTTGAGTAGTGTTCAGTTTAATTAAAAAAAAACAATATGGTGACATCATTTTTAGGTTGTAAAATATTATTTTAAAAATAAAACTGACATGCAATCATAGTACTAAATATCACTCTCAGATTCAGAAAGTTATTTCCCCATATTTTAAAATGTTCATTGATTGCAAGTAAATTTTACTTTTAGATATAAACATTCAACATGCTTTGTTTGATCCCAAGTTCAACTCTGAGTAAAACAATACCTATTATTTAAAACATTGTACTATGAACCACAATGCTGAAACAATTTCTACAACAACTTCTTCATTCTTAAATTTTTCCCCTTCTGGTTAGCTAAAATTATCACTTCAGTCATTCATATTTTCCAATAATAAATTACATGGTTGTTTCAAAGGAATTATATAAAATAATAATCATGAAATAACAGCAACACTAGAAAATTTTACCAAGTGCAAAGGCATGCACAGAGGCTTGTTCCCATAATTATTAGGAACGACATGAAAACTGCAAATAAAAAGTCTCTGCAGATAATCTGGCAATAATTACCATATATATCTGTCTACATATTTATCTTTATACTTTTCTTTTGAAATTATCTATTATTTTATTAACTAAGACATATAAAATAATATTTTGAAAACATTTCTCAGACATATGTATGTATTAATTCAGTGTTTTTGTAGAGGAGCAGAGGAAAATTATTTTTATCCCAAAATAGATTATAATCATGAGTTTTTATGTTTTCTGAAATTGTGAAATAATCATACTTTTTATTTCTAAATTACTACTTTTTGAACATAAAGAATTCAATTACAGCAAAAAGAGAAATGAAAAATCAGTTAATAGAAATAAGTCAGTAAGGCAGTAATAATGTAAACTGTTAAATTTTAAAATGAAAGAAGTTTATTAAATATTTTATTAAATTTTTAGCAACAAAACCAATATAAAAAAGAGATTCTTTTCAGTGATGTGAGTTGCATAATTTATATATCAAAAGAGCCACATTACTGTGCTTTAAGAAAAAATATATAACAAGTATTTATGGATTATAGTCTTTATGCTTTCTTTAAGGGAATACTTAAATAAATCCAGTGCATTTGAATTATTCATTACAATATTTGAAATATGAAATAGATCCAATAAATTGAGAAAGATCTCATTTAGAATTTAGATTTTTTTAACCTTTTTGGAATAACAAAGCATGACTGACAATAACATAGTAGAGAAAGAACATTGCGTTGCAAGTTCTGTAACAGTAGGTGCACTGGCAGACAGGTCGGCTGCATACTCTCCCTTTTACAGACAGAAAACTACTTCCACTGTAGCTCCTATGGAGTCTTAGACAATCAAAAGCAAATGATTTCCAGGAATAGTTGAATGCAAATAGTTAATATAAATAAAAATCTATTTAAAACAAATGCACTATAATGGATTTTATAATCTGGGATGCTTTTATTATGCACAGATATTTATCAAGTATACTTTTTTTGCCTAAGTTAATTTAAAATCTGAACTCATTAAAGATAGAAAGAAAAAAAATCATTTGTATTTAAATATAAAAGTGTTACAAAGATCAAATAAAATCCTTCATTAAAAGTGAAACAAACCATTGAAAGCAAGTAAAATATTCAAATAAGCACAATACCTATTTAACTGAAGTTTGATATTAAACCCTCATCTGGAAATCTAATAAACTATTTGTAATGAAGAACATGAAAGAGACCAAAATCATCTAGAGAAAATAAACAAAATTTATGAAATAAAATTTACCTACTTTTGCAGCTCATATGTTTGTTGAAAAAAAGTATGTCTTTATTTCATAGGCATGCCAAAGAATGTAGAAAGATATTAACTCATCATTTATCATGATCTAGTAGAGAAAATCACAACTTTTATTGCTTTAGGTTTCTGATTTTCTACCCTCCCCACCTGCTCCCTGCGTTTCGACTCTCTTCTGGACAGCATTCTTCTATCTTAGGTAGAACAAAATAAGATCCCTAAACAGACACGCAGGAAATAACCACCACCCAGCTGGAGAAATAGGTTTTTCTGCCTTTGCTCTGTCTTTGTACATTAATAAGACCAGCTGATACATTCTGCCACAAAATTCAGCTTGCGAGTAATCCTCTGCTACTTAAGGCTGGATGAAAAGAGTGCTCATTGTGAATTATGTTTCATCTGTCACAATAACCTTCTTTATTCTGCTGTGGACCTCCCCTTTGCCTGTGGCAATTAGAGAAAATATGTATGCCTTAAAGTATGAAATACTGGCTTCTTAAAATGAAACTCAGCAAAACAAAACCTGGTGGCACTAACAATGCTTTCAAGTAATATACTGAAGATAAGCAGATGAGGCATTTTGAAGTTGTTCTGATTTTGTAAGGACATAGTAAAAGACATTTTAGAATTAGCAGGTGGTATAGTTGCTATTGCTTATTATTAACATTGGTTATTGATAACAATCAGTGAATTCTAATTGTATTAAGAAATTAAATCTAAACATTTTCATATTGTTTATTTTCTAATTAAATCATACCATCAGAGATATGTGACAAGTAAATGATATTTATTTAGCATACTAAATCACAGTGACTTTATGTGCCTTTCAGAAACCACAATACATTTATGTGCTTTTAAGTATATTTCAATGTTTCAGAATATTTTCACAAACAGTTAAAGGGGCAAAAACAAAGAAGAAATATTTCCTTTAAACAGAGGTTATCAAACAGTTTTGTTTAGCTTAAAATCAATGTGATTATTTGATTTACTTACTCTTACAAATCACTGAAATTACCTCGAGGCAGTTCAAGTTCACCTTTCAGGAATTAAGCCTGTTAAATGATAGACATAACTGCACCAACTCCTTAGAAGGACACCTCAACTTTTTGGCTTCATAGGGTACAGTAAAAGTTAAGCCACTTGTAGTCAGAAACGAGTGAAGTTCAAAGACCTTAAAAAGCTACAAAAGAAAACAAACAATTGACAGGAAAGAAAATGCTCTAGCACCAAGAGAAAGTCTGCTGAGGAAGTCACTGAAACAGTAACAGTGTGATAAAGGCATATAAATGATTTAAGCTAACACGAAATTCATAAAGTCTGAAGAAAAAATTCTTGAGACTGAAAGGAAAACCTCTTGGCCCACTGCACAGGTTGGGCACAAAAGTGCTTGCTAAGCTATCTATTTCACACATGCAACGACAGAAGGTTCGATATTCATTCGATCGATGAGTGAAAAGGCACAATGGCAAAATCAGACAGACTTCTTTTCAAATACAGATCTCCAATGTCCCCCTACAGTCTGCAGATGCACGGCTGGTGGTGTGGCTCAGACGGAGCAAGGGTTACATCAAGGCTGTTCTCTGGACCGTGCAAACAGTCTAGACCAATGACCTGCAGCATCATGCCTTTTGAAGAAGAGGCAAGTTCGGTCATGATGAAGAAAAATCAAGGCGTACCCCTTTTAACAATAGGGAGCAGCTCGAGGCTGCAAAGAGGTAAGCAGGGTAAGAAGAAAACGGCATCTGCTTCCATGGTTACAGGCCAACTATGAGAACCTTGCTTTTCAAGGGAGTCTGTTCTCAGGCTCCCTCACGGGGTATGTCATGCATTATAAGCAAAGGCAGGTTGAGCTGAAATCCGCATAGTTATTTCAGAGTAAAATGATACGGAGCACATGGCTGGCAGAAAAAAAAAGGTCACATGACTGTTAAGAACCAGACTTGGGCTATTTCAGAATAGAATTTTTTTTTCCTTATACAAGTTTAAATACAGAGTAAATTTGTATAAAACAAAACAGCGATGATAAACATGGTTTTCATTTCTCAGGCTTTTATGGGAACAGAGGTCAAGGGTCAAGATACCTCCCCTTGGCAAGACCATACAGCCTATTGTTAATATAGCTTTACTATAGATAGCAGCGTTTAAAAATATTTTCCTTTTTGGCCGGATTGTAATACAGATATATGTTCTTATGAATTTTGCTGACCTGATTCTCTTTGGTGTCCTGCCCAACATGTTCCTATTTTTAATGTTCATTTCCATGATTAGATCTCCTAGTGAGAAACTTCCTTGGTATGGTGTTACTATTTTAGGAAAGAGTAAGGTATCCTCTGCTTTTGAAAATATGCTTATGGGAAATTCAAATCTGTAGTAAAAATCAATAGCCTCTGATAATAATTCTGTTCTTACTTCATGCCTTTGTATTTTATTCAATGCTTGATACATGAGACTATAGATTCAAATATAAAGTTATTTGCTTTTCTGAAAGAAGTTTAGCTTTAAAATTGAATCTGTAATATTACATGCTAGCAGCTAATACTATCTGAATAAAAGTTTAACAAATGTAAAGTGTATCATCTTCTATAATATTGAGGAAAGATCTACTATAATAACCATACATAATGCAGACAAGTACAATTAACATTCCTCTGACAATGTACCACAACTCAATGTGAAAAGAGCACAGATTTGGTTATCTTTCAACTATGTCTAATTAACTATAGATGGTCCATGCAATTTATCCTTCAAGCAGTTTTTGTTTGCAAGTATATCATGAAAATCATGGAACAAAAAAAAAATAGGATGATCCAAAAGACAAGGCATTAAAAAAACCTTTTCATTAAATTTACTTATCAAAAGTATTTTTAATATTGAACACTTAAGGAAAAATGACATTTTCCTTTCTTGAAAAGATTCTCTATAACTGAGGTATTAGGTGACTGAGTAATATGTGCATGCTGTATGTAGTTTGTAACAAAAATTCTACTCATATAACAAGCTGGGTATTTCATTATAAATGAGTACCATATGGTCTTGTTGTGTGTAGATATTCATTTCAAATACTTACCTTGAAGGAAAATTTTCTCGTAGGTTTGCAAAAGCAATTAAGTGTTTGTGATCACGATAGCAACAATTTTATGCTTTCAATCGAGAAACCAGAAAATTATATTCTGGCGCATTCCTCCATGGTGGTACCTAGTTTTGACCTAGGTAAACATGGGTTCCAGGCTAAACATATGAATGTTGTTTTATTTCTTTGAGTGTATTCAAATATATTAGCTTCTTTTATTGAATAGTGAGAAAAACATGGTATAGAAAATGAACTACTGGAGTGTCACTATTTTAGTATAATAATAGTTTTTATGTTAATAAAATCCATGAACATACTATCTTAAGCTATTCTAGTATCTTTAAATAATTTACATAATACTAATATAATTAAACATCAGAGTTGCTCTGATGTAACAACATATCTTACTTTCTGCCAAAGGTCAAGTGCCAGATATTTCTTCAGTGGAAAATATTACCTGTCAATTCTCCAAAGGGAAACAAAGCAAAAACAAAATACACTAAGGCTTATACATTCCTTGGATTATTTGTGAGTTGAGGGTCAAAGTAAAATGAAGCTATGCCATAAAATCAGACAGACAGTTGAACTGTTTTTATTTCTTCCGAGTTAACATTTAGCCTAGTCTTGCTTCTTTGTTTTTCAAAAACATATTTGGTTTCATGAATATTTATATGTGAACATAAATTATACTAACTTGCAAATTTGGGCACACATAACTACATAACACTTGGAAACATTCTTATACAGGCAGATTGATAGTTATTATGATGCTATTACTTTAACTTAGTAATATGCAGATAAGAACATTTAATATTAAATATCTAGAGGAAATGACAGTTTTTTCCTCAAAAAGTTTCTTTCTATCTGATTTATTAAATGGCTGATTAATATCTACAACTGTATGTAATTTGAAACAAAAATTCCACTCATACAAAAGGTTAAATTATATTTAAATATTTCTTTGAATTAAATTTCAGAGTAATTATTGTGCTTTGCCCTCACCCCACTCTTGCCCGAAGAGTATTTCCCCTTATAACAAAGAGACTGAAAATTTCCAGTGCCTTAGTGTTGGGATTGTGCTTTGAATATAGTATGTGCTCAGTAAATATCTCCCTAATAAGTTATGAAACATGTGTTTACACCAATTATCTAATTGTATGAAAGTCAGGACAGACTCTCCTCTCTTTACTTGTATATTATTTTAAGCCTTTTTCTTTATAAACAGAGAGTAATCAGTAATGATTACTAAAAGCCAACTATGTGTTCTGAGACTAGAAGTGTGTGTCTACAGGCATATTTCCTAAATAGGAACCTGGTAAACATTATTCTCAAATGTATTTTTATATTTCTGGGAAAAAATTCCAGGAGTCAAATAAATGTGCAAGGGATGCTGCCTTAGATGTAGATTTCCTATATTACAATAGCTTTCTTATGTACAAAAGTTTTGGAGCTTTCAAAAGACCGATGTGTATAGAGTATTCCTAAGAAGGGAATTATATTTTAGAAATTGTTTAACCAACTTTTTCATAAACTATTTATTAACAATATGATCAAATTTCATGATGAGCTGAAGCTGGCTTAAACTAGGTTGAATAAAAGGATTTTAACTATATTTTCCAAAACTCCACCTTCAATGATAACATTTTCTGATCTTGAAATCAACTATAGCAGAAGTATCTGCACCATAGAACTAGCAAATGAGAAATTAGGGTTTTTGCTTTTCTCTCTTTCTATTTTTGTTTTGATTGGTTGTTAAACATTTACAAGCACACCGTTACCAAATTTCCTCTCTGAATGCCTCTTTGTAGGTAAGTTATGACCACTAAGAGATCTATGAGTTTAGTGATTTTCCATTCATCAAACTGTCTAGGATTAGGATGTAGCTCAGTGGTATAGCACTTGTCATGACTATGTGAGGCCCCGAGTTCTATGTATAACACTACAAAAAAGCAGCAATTGTTTTTGTAAATAGCTATTTTATCAACAATTCATATAGTTTATATAATGTCTCTAACTTATCTGGATAAACATATTTTTCCCCTCTATACATCTTTAATCAAAACACTTATGTACTCTGATATACAGCTGCCTAATCACACCTAAGTGAATCCTGACATCAGGATTCTGGAAATTGCTAGACATTCCTTGACTGTGTCTCTAACTCAGCTTCACTCTGTCACCTCTGATTTTTTATAACTGATACAAAGAATATCTGCAGTGTAGACTTTTGTACTACATGTCATTTAATTTTATTCATTTTCTCAGGAGTATTAACTTGCTTGGCATCTGGGATGAGATTGTTAGGAAAAAAAAAGAAATTGAGTAACTAGTAGAGAAACTGAAATGCACATTTTTGACACGATAAGTCACTTAATTCCCAACTGATCTTTATCTACTAAATACCTATGAATAGGTTATAGGCAAAATCTCTAAATATAAGTTGATTATAAGTATACATATATTTGGCTAAATAATAAATAGCAGAATTCTGTGTGGATTCCATTGTGGTCTTATAACTTGAAACAAGACATTCTATGGTGACATGTTTTGTAGAAACTCGGCAGTCTACTTTGTGATAATACATGGGAGATTTTTATTGTGGTTTTAGTTTACCTTCCCAAACAAGATATCCCACAAATTGGTTAATTAATCTGAGTATGTTTTTGGCCAAGTATGTTGCTATGAAACATAACTAACATATAATCTTTCTTTGTGGACCCCACAGTCAAATGTGAGAAGAAAGCACCTTGAATTTTTTGCTATGAGAGAAAATCATCTGAATATAATTCTTTTTACTTTAAATCAAATGTACATGTACATTATGAATTACCAGAATTATCCAACTTAATCCCATAATCTCATATAGTTCCTAGTTTCCACTCTCATCACATCACAGGTGTTGCTATATCACAAATGGCTTCATGGTCACAAATACAGTTATGAACATGACCGCCAGGATTCTAAGGATACCATCCTTCACAAAGTCTAAATAAAGAGTAAGTAAGATGATTACAGAACCCTGCATTGTGCTTTTAAGCATAATGAAGTATTTCACAGAGAGTCTAGGTCCTCAGAGGATCCTGCACAATTTTTGTAAGACAAATGCAATCAATCCTAAATACGAAGGAAACTCCCACAGGCTTAGATGATATTGTGTACCCATGTGCATGTGTGGAATATGTGTTTGAATACTCATTGCATAAAATGTTTTTGTAGTTGGAAAAAATCATTTGAACATGCTAATATTATATTTTTGAAAACTTTGAAGTCAACATAAATTGTAAAAGGTTTTATATTACTTCAATAACTTTGGAAATACGAACACAATTTCAGCACCAGCAAATTCTCTTCCTTCTGCCATGAAACCTGGAACTTTTCCTTCATTCAAATACTATTCTCAAAATTTAAGAGTACATTAATGCATAATATTTACACATAGCAGGTTTTTAAAGATTTATTTGATGTCGGGCATTTAAAGAAAATAATTTTGATATTTGATCTAAATTTACATTTATAAGCATTATTGTCTTTCAATTTTAAATAGAAAATTGTCTTTTTAGACTTTTCAAAGAAACCATCTCCCTTTTGATAACACAAAATAGATTTTTTAAAATTTTGCTAGAAAATTTTACTTACCATTAGAGAACTAGCTCAATTAATATTCTCAATTTATATTGACATATAAAGGTGACTTTATATGCCACCTTTCCAATTTACTTAGGTGAAAAAATAATAAGTAGATAGAAATGAGTATAAATTTAAATATATGCACAAATCCTCACATTGGAAACCT